ACCAGAGTAGGAGTTCGAGACCAGTCTGGCCAACGTGGTGAAACCCTGTCTCTACTAAAAATACAAAAATTAGCTGGGCCTGGTGGCATGTGCCTGTAGTCCCAGCTACTGTGGGAGGCTGAGGCAGAAGAATTGCTTGAACCCGGTAGTTGGAGATTGCAGTGAGCTGAGATTATGCCACTATATTCCAGGCTGGGTGACAGAGTGAGATGCCATCTCAAAAGAACAAAAAAATTACCACCAACAAAAATTTTCTTTTTATTTCTTTTTTTCTTTTATAGCATTGTTTAGAAGACTATTATCTTTCAAGTAGCCCTGGGGTTTTATCTCATTTTTATTTCTGTGAGCATATTATGAGCCAGTTTCACACTGGCTTCTGAGCAGGTAATATGATTTTTAAATATTAACTTTTTCACGTTTGTTAAGATTTTCTTTATGGTCAAGCATTTGATTCTTGTAAATGTTCCACGAAAAAATATATATGTTTTCTATTTGAGCTTATAAGAACCTCTGTGACTATGAAATAAGAGGTATTAGTTATATAAAGTAGAAGAAAGCAAGATTGGAGCAATCAGGATAGAGCCTCCAGGGGATTGTATGCACTGCGCTTTTCCTAACAATTCTGCCTGCCACCCTTCTCCTCCTTGTTTGTTCTGCCTCCCATGGGTGAACTTCGTGATCCTGGATGAGACCAACCTTTTGCTATGTAATGGCTTCCATTCCATCTTCCCTGTTCATGGTAATTCTTCAATTCTGCCCACTCTTTCCTGTATCAGCAAACATTTCTAATATGCTGGATCATTCCTGTCAGCATAGAAAAATGTATAGTTTCTCTCATCCTAAAATTCCCTTTTTGTCCTGTGTCCCTCTTCTTTCCCTGGTACTTCATGTTTTCCTGTTTCCTTTATTGCAAAACGTTTTGACAGATTATCTAATTGCATTGCCTGCAGTTCTTCCCACTTTCTCTTCAACCTGCTTCAATGAGGCCTTTCTTGCCTATTACCATTATACCACCACCATCCCCCCGCCACTGCCTTGCCAAGGATAACAGTGACCCTTGTGTAGATAAGACTACTGGATACTTCTGAGTCCTTATCGACTTTGCTTGACTTCTCCAGCACTGTCCAGTAGCAGTATGATGCAAGTGTTGGGTAATTTTTAATTATCTATTAACCGCCTTTAGAAAGGTAAAAAGACAGGTGAAATTAATTTTAATATATTTTATTTGATCCAGTATATCCAATATATTATTTCAAGATATCATCTGTATAAGAATTCTTGACATTTGATCTTATTTTTATTGTTCCACGTTTTTGAAATCTGGCATGCATTGTACCCTATCAGCATATCTTAGCCTGGAGGAGCCACATACCACTGGGTGCTCCATAGCGTTGTGTCGTTTCCTGCTACCAGTTGAACAGCACATCTCAGATTCTCCTCCTCAAGTGCCCTTTCCCTCCTTTTTTGCCTTTGTAATGACCACTTACGTGGCTATCTTAAGTGTTACCTTAGTCAGTTTGCATATATATTGTGTGCAGCTCCTTTGTGCTAGGCGGTGGACTGGATTCTTCTGGTGCAGTACTGTACCTGAATGTAATATACCTGGTCTTAAATTCGTGTTGCCCAAATCTTGTTCTCTTTTCTCAGTGAAACTTTTTCTGAGGCTCTATTTCCTCCCTCCTCGCCTTCCCAATAAATTAGATGTTTTTATACAGCAGCCTGTATTGCTTTGTTATATTCTTTATCATAGTTGTTTACTTATAAAATATTTATTTAATGTCTGGATTTGTGTTATCCTTGTTTGCTGCTGTATTTCTGATACTTGGAATAGAGTCTAGCCCCTAATAATTTCTCATACTTCATTCACTTACATGCCAGACGTAGCTCTGATTCCTTGTAATCTGGTGGTGGACAAGGTGGACATGATATTCCCATCCTCGTGGTGCTTTTTTTCTAGTTATAAAGTAGAATATAAGAAAGAAAATAATAAAAACAATGTGATTATCCTAAAGGGCTAGAGTAGGGTGGTGTGAGAGAGAGTATCTGGGTTTTCGATTTAGAGTAGGTGGCAACGCCAGCCCCTGTTGACCCTCTTCTCTTTATAACAGATACTGTAAATTATCTTTGGCTATCCTGAAGTTAGAAGTACAGAGCATGTTATTCCCCTACTCAAATAATGTTTTTAAAATATCATTATCTAAAAGTTGAACACAATACATTGGAAGACATTATAGTCAGATGCACCTACTTAGTAATGACTTTTAGTTTGAGACAGTCAGAAGTCACTCCGTACAAGTGGCGTAGGAAAGTGATAGGGAAATTTTATGTGCTGACCTTGGGGCATAATGCCAGAGTGAGGTAGAAAAACAATTTCTAAAACTGTAGTTTTCAGAACCTAGATATCTTACTGTGCCTTAGAATTTTTTTAATTATGAGATAGCAATAACAAAGATTATAATTGAAGTAGTATTCCTCATTTCATATGTCACCACCAATGTATTGATGTTCAGTTCTCAGTCTGTTGGAAGGAGCCTCTGACATCCTCTGGTACATACGTGCATGCAGTAGCTACAGGTGCAGACTAATACAGGTGCATTGTGTCAGCGACTAAAATAACTAGAGCAAGTCTTGTCCTTGGTGGTGTCATTCTCCAAAATGGTTAGCAACTCTTAGTAAAACTTCAAAAGCAGCATAAAATCAGATTCCTGTGCATTACACATAAGTTGCATTCCTGGAAAATTCAGTGCAGAGCATCCTTTTGTGGTTTTTAAACAGACTTTGTTTCTAGAGTCAGAGTCTTCACAGACATAAATACACACCAGGACATTTAAAAGCCATTGAGGATACAGGACAGTTTTTTTTACTGTGCAGGACTTAACCATACTTCATGTGATATCTAGCATCCTTGGTCATCTTTTATATTCCTCATTGTTTGATCAACTAAAAACAACCCATCCCCAGAAATAGTTTACCCCAGTGAAACTAGAGCACATATCATCAAGACAAGATCATGACAGTAAATAGGTCAGAGAGGCAGGCAGTGGTCAAATCATGTAGGCAGTTTGATTATAGAAATCATGCTGTGTAAATCATGTAAGTTTTGGTGCTTTGTATTATACCTTTTTAAGCAGGGGAGTGATATCTGATTTACATTTTTAAAGCATCTCCCTGGCTTCCAGGTAGGGAGATTAGATTGTAGAATGGATGAAGGGAAACCAGTTCGGAAAAATGACACAGCTCTAAGCACAATATCATATGATGGCCTAGACTATAGTGACATATGTGAAGATGGGGAATAAACACATGGATTCTGGATGCTGAGAGGTGAAGTTACCAGGACTTGTGGAGAGGTTGGATAATGGGGAAAGGGAGAAGAATCAGTGAGAATGTCTTCCTTTTTTTTCGGCTCAGGAATCTGGTTGATATGATGCTTATTATTGAAGTCAGGAATCCTGGGGGAGGAACATGTTTTGAGAGTACCCTTTTGACTGTGTTGTTAGTAATCTCTCACAGACATCCATGTGGTAATAGGATATAGGGAGTTGGATACATGCGTCTGAGTTCCAGAGAGATGTGAGGCCTGGAGATGGTGCATAATGCCCCAGTACTATATGATACTCATTCTGCCATGGCACAACTAGAGGGAAGAACAGGGCCCACCCAGCACAGAGCCCTGTGGCTTTTTCACATTTATAGATTGAGTAGGGAAGAAGCCAATAAAAAGAACTGGAAAAGAGACCAGTGAGGTGGAAGAAACCCCAAAAGGGCAGGATGTCCCAGAGGACAGGTGGGAAGAGTACGCAGAGGGGTTGTGGGACATGCTATGGAGAAGCCTAGGACCAGAGAATGGAGAGCTGCCTGTGGCCTCTCGGGGTAAGGCAGGAGCCTCCAAATACATATCCCTACAACAGTGCAGGAAGATGCTTTGCTGGGAAGGGCAGCTGAGTGTGAGTCTCTTTGTAAACAATTCCAGCTCAGTCCTAGTGGTGTCTTCTGTTCTCCATGGGATGGAGAGGGGCTAATACCTGACAGAGTGGCTTTAACCAGGTTAATTGATTTGAAGAAATGTGTAGGAATCTTCACACGCTGAGTGATCATCCTCATGAGATGTTAGAAGGATGGAAAATACATGTATCTTCTATACGAATTTTTTTGAGGAAGGGTCTCAATGAATTGCCCAAGCTAGAGTGCAGTGGTACAGACTTCTGGGCTCAAGGGATCCTCCCGCCTCAGCCTCTCAAGTAGCGGGGTCTATAGACACAGACCACCACACCTGGCTAATTTTTTTTTCCTGGTTAGAGAAAGGCTCTAACTGTGTTGCCCAGGCTGCTTGATCTCCTGGCCTCAAGGGATCATCTCACCTAAGCCCCTCAAAGTGCTGGGATTATAGATGTGAGCCATTGCTCCCAACTCTTTTTTATTCTTTTTAGAAAAGTGTTTATTAATTGTACAGCAGTAATAGAAGGAAAAGAAAAAAGAGAGAAAGCAAAAGTTTATGCTACTATGACCATAGACTCTCCCGGCATGTCTTAAGAGGTTATTCTGTATTGGGAAGGACTCCTTGGTTACCTACTGTCTCCCTAGCTACAGAACTCCTGTAAGTTTTAGAACTTACTGTAGCCCAGTAAGCTCTAAACTTACTGTACATGGAGTAATCCCAGATCCTTCTTTCTTTGGGAATGGAAGCAGAATGATTGCCTCAACTTGCCTCCTTCCTTTATCTTCTGTTCTCTCTCAGTGGTAAGTATACTCTCCCTCATCCAACTGTATGGGTCTCCTCAGCACATCACAAAGAGCAGACCTGGGCCTGACTTTGACGTACAGGAGATAGTCTCATGGCTACTCCCCTGGGGCAGCATGGAGAATCTGTTTTTTTCCCCCAGACCTCCAGTCTTAGGGAGCATGTCTTGAGGACAATGAAGATTTCACAGAACATTTACAGACTCCATGAAATGAGTTTTTTATCCGTAGTCTAAAGGTTTTACTTTTTCTTTTTATAGCCCACACATCTTGCTGACTTCAATCAAGTGCAAACCATTCAGTATTCAAACAGTGAAGACAAGGACAGAAAAGGAATGCTACAACTAAAAATAGCAGGTGCACCTGAGGTAAGGAACTGTTACATTCATCATTAAGAGAAAATGGTAACATAGGGGTGTTTTAGAAATAATGACTTTTTAAGGATGAAGTTTTCATGGATCATCAGAATCACAACTTTCTTATATATAGAGTCACATTACAAATGACAATGATTAAATGTCCCCAAGAATAGGACAGAAGACATTTAAAAATCTTTCAAGAGTGGGCTGGGCATCATGGGTCATGCATGTAATCCCAGCACTTTGGGAGGCTGAGGCGGGTGGATCACCTGAGGTCAGGAGTTCAAGACCAGCCCGACCAACATGGAGAAACCCCATCTCTACTAAAAATACAAAAAATTAGCCAGTCATTGTGTTGCATCCCTGTAATCCCAGCTACTCAAGAGGCTGAGGCAGGAGAATTGCTTGAATCTGGGAGGTGGAGGTTGTGGTGAGCCGAAATCGCACCATTGTACTCCAGCCTGGACAACAAGAGCGAAACTCCATCTCAAAAAAAAAAAAAAAAATCATTCAAGAACGTTATTGTAAAGATGATGATTAAAGATTATCATTAGGCCAGGTGTGATGGTCCACACCTATAATCCCAGCACTTTGGGAGGCCAAGGCAGGCGGATCACTTTAAGACCACGGAAACCCTATCTCTATTAAAAAATACAAAAATTACCCAAGTGTGGTGGTGCATACCTGTAATCTCAGCTACTTGGGAGGTTGAGGCATGAGAATCTCTTGAACCCAGGAGGCAGAGGTTGTAGTGAGCCAAGATCACACCACTGCACTCCAGCCTAGGTGACAGAGTAAGACCATGTCTCAAAAAGAAAAAAGGGTTATCATTAAGTACCAAGGACATTAACTTCTACGAGTTACATGTACAGTCATGTTTTGTTTAACAACAGAGACGTTCAGAGAAATGCATAATTTGCTGACTGCTTTGTTGTGCAGACATCACAGACTGTTCTTATGCTAACCTAACATGGTGGTAGCCTACTGTACACCTAGGCTGTGCAATATAGCCTGTTGCTCCTAGACTACCAACCTGTATAGCATGTTAGTGTACTAAATACTTTAAGCAGTTGTAACACAATGGTATTCGTATCTCTAAATACATGTAAACAAAGAAAAGGCACAGTAACAATATAGTATCAAAGGTAAAAAATGATACACCTGTATAGAGCCCTTAGCATGAATGGAGCTTGTAGGATTGGAAGTTGCTGTGGGTGAGGCAGTCAGTGAATGGAGGGTGAATGTGAAGATCTAGGACATTACTGTGCACTACTATAGACTATAAACACTGTACACACCATATACTTAGGCTCCACTAAATTTATTTTTAAAAACTTTTCTTCAGTAGTAAATAAACATTAACTTAGTGTAACCTTTTTATCTTATAAACTGATTTTTTACTTAGTTTAAAATACATTGTACAGCTGTACAAAATATTTTCTTTTTTTACGTACTTATTCTGTAAGCTTCTATCTAGTTTTAAAATTATTTTCTGTATTTTTACTTTTTAAACTTCTTTGTTAAAAACGAAGACACAAACACACTAGCCTAGGCCTACACAGGGTCAGGAGTATTCATATCACTGTCTTCTACTTCCACATCTTGCACCACTGGGAGGTCTTCAGGGGCAGTAACACGCATGAAGCTGCTGTCTCCTAGGAGAACAGTGCTGCCTTCTGGAATACTTCCTAGAAGCCCTGCCTGAGGCTGTTTTACAATTGAATTATTTTAAATAAGTAGTAGTACACTATAATGATAAAAGAAAATAAGACAGTACCATAGTCATTATCCAGTATTATGTGCTGTACTTTTGTGTGACTGGCAACACAATAGATTTTATTACACCAGCATCACCACAGACATGAGCAGTGCATTTCATTACAACCTCAGGGTAGCTACAGCACACTTGACAACAGGAATTCTTACTTCCATTATATACATCTTGCTGAACCACCATTGCATATGTGGGCCATCATTTTCCAAAATGTATAGTGTGGTGCACTGACTGTATATATTCTGTAAACTGAGTTAATTTCCATACTGTGTTGTATATGATATTCTCTGGCTAGAAATAATATTATGTGATTATTATAATAATTATAACAGCAGCAGTACCTGCTACTGGGCATATGCTACCCATGGTTCTTTTTTTTTTTTTTTTTGGGATAAAGATAGGGTTTCACCAGGCTGTCTTGAACTCCCGACCTCAGGTGATCCACCCGCCTTGTCCTCCAAAGTGCTTGGATTACAGGCGTGAGCCACCATACCTGGCCCCCATGGTTCTTTATACAGAAGCCAAGAGAGGCTGTGTCATTCTTAAAACCACAGAAGTATGTACTTGGTTATATTTTGGTTAACCACATTCTGTAGTTGAGGAAACTGTGGTTTTAGAGGTTGGCCACGTCAAGTAATTGACAGAAATGGGGTTTATACCCAAACAGTCTGGATCCAAAGCCTGTGTTCTTAGTCAACATGCAACAGTGGTTTAAAACAGGTGGTATAAAAAAAGAGCCATTTGGCAAATACTACCTAATGGGATCCTTTCTCTAAGATGGGCAAAATGCACTCATGTATGAAAGGATCTGGACAGTCTGGTGGCACACACGGTTGCGCTGTTGTGTAAAGCATGCTTTTGAAGCCCATCCGTTTCCATCAGCACACCAGGATTCTTTGGCCTGTTAACAGCTCGTTCTCTGGGTAGCTTATTTGCAGCACTCCTCACTTAGGCAGATGCCTTATCACTGTTCTGCCCTGTGACTCTCTGAATTTGGTGACATCTGAGGGCTCTATGAACTCTTGTTGATTCTTGAGATTAAACAGATATTACCATACAATATCAAAAACCATATAATCAGAAACTCACAGTTAAAGGCTGTGGTGTCAGTGTTACAAATAGAACTTTCCTGCAAATATCTCAGTAGTAATATTCCATCATCATTTCAAACTGTCCTCCTTTCATTTTGTTAACCTCCAAGTAATATTTAGGGCAGTGCAGATGAGAGGCATTCACTTAGAGGATTATAAATAACTATTTGAATTAGGCCACACCTGTATTTGAAAATGCAATACAGCTTTTCTTACCTCTTCGATAACACTTAAAGATAGATCTTTAGGAAGTTTTTCAATATTGAACGTATTTTATATTGGAAAGAGAATGATTTCTAAGCCTTTGGTCAGAACATGCTATGTGTGCTAAAAATAATGAAATTTTATTAATTTTCTTTTACATCAGAAAAATTATGATGGATGGCTGATAAAAAAAATTTACTCCACATTAGTCTAGTTTCTGATACAAGTCATACTTTAACTTACTGATTGTCTAAATTCTTCCCTTAACCTGGAGTACGCCAGAGGATCCAGATATTCTGAAGGAAAATATTTTTAATCTCCTTTCATTCTAGAAAGCCCCAGTTTCAGTGATTTTTCTGTTTTCATCTGGGTTTGCATTTGTCACGTATTCTAGGAATAATGTCCTTAAATACCAAATTTCCTTTTTCAAATCTTACAACAGATCTTGTTTCATTCCCACTCTGTTTTCAAGTGTATAGTGATGTCTGATGTCATGGCACAGCTGTCCTTTGCTTACTGGGAAGAACAATAAAGTCTGTTTTCTTGGTCTTTTCTCCTTTAGCCTCTGACAGTGACGGCCCCATCCCTAACCATTGCAGAGAATATGGCTGACCTGATAGATGGGTACTGCCGACTGGTGAATGGAGCCTCTCAGTCGTTTATCATCAGACCCCAGAAAGGTGAGGTGCTGTTTCTGAGCATTCCCAATTGCATTTCTACCAGATTGTTAACTGAGTTTGCCTGTTATCCTCTTTTAGGTAACTGTAAAAAGGAAGACCAAATGAATAATTCAGCTCAGTGTAATCTGAGTACTTATTTTTCTAGGGATGGTGATCCAGTTCACACCTTCCGCAAGCCAAGAACTGGGTTTGAATAGAGCCTAAAGTAAACATTGTCTGTGTTTTGAGCTACCTACTTAGAGGATTTTCTAAATTGCCATTACTATTTTTAAATACATGAGTATTTTTAAACTTTTGGGTTTAAATAAAATTCTGGGTTTAAAAAAGGAATCCCTTGTAACTCACTATAAATGAAGTATTCTCTTTTTTCTTATGTATCTCAAAAGCTTCGAGCATTCGAAGAATAAAATGCATTCTAAGTCATGATGTTAAAAGAAATCAAAGATTATAATAAATAAATACCCTGGGAACATCACTATAAAAATGGTGTGGAGTTTTTACAAGCATATAATGAGGAATGCTTTTGAGAATTTGGATTTCTGAAAGAATCAAATGAAAATATTCCCAGCAAGATAATAGCAGATGTAGTGTAAAGCAGGAAAAGATGGGGTTTGGGAATTATGGAACTTAAGCTTAAATCATGAATCCCGTGTGCCATCGTCATCTGTAAATTACTTTACTTTTCTGTGCCTCAGTTCTGTCATCTATCAAACATGAAGAACAGTAACTATCTTCTATGGTATTAGGAGGATAAAGGACTTATTTATTTATAGGCTTGGAACTTTGCCTGGCACACATGGTGCTCATAGATTTTAGTTATATTGTTGTTCCTGTTGTTGCTGCTAGTTTAGTCTGATCTTGACACTGTATTAACCTAGACTTTGAGATATCTCATCTGTAAAAGAGTGATACCTGTTTTGTAGGGTTGTTAGACACGTCCCAAATAGTAACTGTGTAGCAGCTCACGCTGTGCAAGTGGGGACTCTGGATGTGGGTTTTGTCCTTATTGCCAAGACCCCTTCTATCACTCACCTTAGTGACTAGGATGATTGTAGAGGAGGAAAATCCTGAAGGGTTGTGTGTGTTCAAGTCAGCAGAATTGTATTAAACAGTGATGAGGATAGAGAAAAGGCAGAGCCCAAGTGAAGCAGATAGAAATGCAGAGGATCCAGCTTTGCCCAGCAGGGAAGTGCCCTGTTTACAAAGCAGTTTGAGGGAGGGATGGTGTTTGCATGCGGGGTGTGTGTGTGTGTTGTGTGTTTTATAGAGAGGAGTCATTGGACCCTTTGTTTATGTGTCTTAAAAGAGGTAAGTAATGATGCTGTGCCCTGAAAACAGCAGACAAAGCTGTGAACCTTCTCTAAGTAAACATAAGTCTGTTTGATTCCAGGACATTGCTTTTTCTAGAGGAAAAGAGTGTTTTCCCACAATGATCACACCAATAAAGCCTATTCATATATTTTTCTTAAGTTTTCTTTGTATGAAATAGAGTAATGAAGTTGATTTCAGAAGTCTAAAGTTCCTCACAGTTAAAGCCTTTGCAGCTGTAGGTCTTGATTTTTCACTTTGTGCTTTATTATTTTTATTTTTTGACATTTTCTTCTTCCAGTATCAGACTTTATACTTTAAACAGGTGTATATGCCTTACAAATATTATTAAAATGTTTTCAGATAATTTCTTCACATAGAGATAGTAATTTAGGAAAAAATGTTAAATGTTATTGATTGCCCGTTTCCTTTTTAATAATTTTCCATCTTTTATCCTCAGTTTGCCAAAAGGTCCTTTTTCAATATTAATACACATTTAAAAACAACATTCAGATGTCAGGCATTAAATGAGCTTTCTGTGTTTAAAATGTAAGCATCGTCCTGTGTTGATTTCACTGCTAGCTTTTTTGCTCTCTAGGGAGAAACATTTTGATACTAAAACATGAAAGGCAATGCTTTTTAAGCTCTTTGTTTATATGAAAAGAGCATAAAGTGAAAATGCTTGTCATGAAAAGCTAGATAGTGCATTGGTTATTTCCAGTTTCATATTGTCTTTATAAAATGAATTATTAAACTTGATAATTTTCTTATTCTGAATCATAGCATGTTTATGTATTACATACCTATTTCATCATAGATCCCTAAGGTGAAGATATATTGCCTAGCTAAAATAATATTAAAGTCAAACATCTTTAGTGGGTTGTAGTCAGAAATACATATGGACACAGCATACGTACATTTTTTGAGTTTATTTTTTTGTTTGTTGTTATGTATGCCTTTATTAGCTGAGCCACTACTTGAGGGGGATGAAGTGGGAGGAATGGGTGGCCCTGATGCCCATCTGGCTGTGCTTCCCGGGCTTGTGGGTGATAGAGAACTCGCCCAGGTAGTGGCCCATCATCTCTGGTTTGATCTCCACCTGGTTGAAGGTCTTGCCATTGTAGATGCCCACCATGCTGCCCACCATCCTGGGCAGAATATGTCCCGCAGGTGCGTCTTCACCACTTCCGGCTTCTCCGTGGGCGGTGCCTCGGCCTTGCGCAGGCGCTTGAGCAGTGACTGCTGCTTCCGCCGCAGGCCGGGGTTCAGCCACCGCTGGTGCGCACTGTTCAGCTGCATCCGCTGCTCGTAGGACATGTCCAGTAGCAGGTCCAGGCCCATGCTGCGGTAGGTGAACTTGCGGAAGGTCCGCTTCTTCTTTCGCTCTATCTCTGCCTTCTTGCTAGACCCTCAGAAAAAGCGAGATTTTTTTTTTAAGAGTTAAAAAAATGATAAACATGTTTCTACAACTCTAATGTACCATTTTCCTGGAAACACGCTGTAACTAACAGTTACCTATGCCCATCTGTCTTCTCTAGATCGTAAACTACTTATACATGTATAAATGTATATGTATAACATAACATGACAGTAATAAGTAATCAGTACATTCTACACATGAACCAGGTGTGCCCAGTCACGTTTTGTTAGTTCTTTGATCTACTGTAGTTACCTTGGATTATATAGTGTTTTTAAAAGGGATATTTAAGGCCAGGCTCACGCCTGTCATCCCAGCACTGTGAGAGGCTGAGGCAGGAGGATCATGTCAGGAGTTGAAGATCAGCCTGGCCAACATAGTGAAACCCCGTCTTTACTAAAAATACAAAAATTAGATGGGTGCAGTGGCACACGTCTGTAATCCCAGCTACTGGGGAGACTGAGGGAGGAGAATCACTTAAACCCCGGGGGCGGAGATTGCAGTGAGCCAAGATTGCACCACTGTACTCCAGCCTGGACGACAAAGCAAGACTCCGTCTCAAAAACAACAACAGGATATTAGCTTCTCATAGTGGCTCACGTCAGTAATTCCAGCTACACAGGAGAATCCCTGAGGGCAGGAATTTGAGACCAGTCTGGGCCACATAGCAAGACTGCATCTAAAAAAATTAATTAATTAATTTAAATAAATAAATAAAAGGTGATGTTTATTGGGGAGAACATAGAGCCAGAAGCCAAATTGTCCTATACTGCATTCCACCACAGTCTGCATAACTTTGGCCCTTATTGTATGGTGTTGTCTAACTTACACCTTACCTGAAAGAAAGTTTAGAATTAATTTTGTAGTTTTAGTAAAAATCTGTGGTTTTCTGTGTATCAAATGATGGTGAATACTGTACATTTCAAGGGAGGGAGTGAATGCTTCTAAGTATGACATAAATCCCAGGAGCTATAAAAATAAAATTGTTATATTTAATTATATAATTAAAACAGGTGCTGCGAAAGCAAACACAGTTACATAATTTACACACTTCATTTAGTATAAGATAACATTTTTAAAGCTACAGTAACAGAGGGGGAAATATCTATGACACATATAATAAATAAATTTTCTCATTTTTAAAGTGTTCTTCCATCTCATTCAGTAAAAGACAACCAAGTATAAAACTGGGTTACCTTGTAGAGGAATGTGCAAGGAATATATGGATAGAAGCAGTGATGTCTTTCATTTTATACTAATTACATTGGTTAAAAAAAACCCTGATAACCACCATTGGCAAGACTTCTGGAGAATGCATTCTCATGTTTGTGTCATTGTAAATTGGTACATTTTCAGAAGACAGTTAAGGAGTACTCTGCCCCTTTGTCTGCCTCCTGGAAATCAGCCGTACAAAACCACTGACACAAGGATGTTGTTGACTCCTGCACTGTGTATAATAGAAAAAATTAGCAAAAATTAATAAATGGAGTATGCATACATGCTGTAATACTATGCAGCTGTTTAAAAAAATAGCTGTACTGATGTTTTAAAAACCTACATGTAAGTGTGTCTGTGTGTGTGTGTGTGTGTGTGTGTGTGTGTATCCAAACTTGTGTATTTATAAGCATTAAAAAAGTCTGGTAAGTTAAGTCACCAATTTCAGTTAATGAATACTTCTAAGAAGAATGGAAGTATATTTGAACAAAAACGTTTAACTTCCAGAATTAGGCATTTTGGGTGGTGAGTCCTTAGGGTTTTCTTAAATGCTGCTTCTACTAATAGCGTCTATTGCCATTTTTCTATGTTCCATTACTCTCTTTATAAAAATATTCTCTCAGAATCCTCCTATTGTTCATCGCCTTTACTGTTGCCTTTCTACCCATGCCCAGCTACCTAGGAAGTCTCCTATTAGCTAAAAATGCAATAATGGATTTCTTTTGCTTTCAGGAAATAGAAATTTCAACAGAGTGTAAACAGTTAGAAATCACACTAATGTGTCATTTGAAAGGCTGTATTAACAATTTGGGTGTGAATAAGATGGTGGTACTGGTGGTCATGTTCGTGTTCATGGGATAATAAACTAATTATCAGGCCTTTTCAGTTACTCTAAATTTGGTCTTCCTGGTGTGACTTGGTTATTTTGCTTGAAATAGATGTTCTAAATATCAACAAGTGATGAAGTTCGGCTTGAATTCCAGTTTTGTGCAGTGAGTTGTATATATACAGTGTTCAGCCTCACAAGTATCTCTGCAAATTAGAAGAATTAAACAGCTTTTCAGAAAGAATAACATAGGCTCCTAGGTTGATTTCTTTCTTTCTTTACCAAACAGTGGTTGGAGAGCCTCCCGAGTGCCAGATACTCTGAGAGGTATTAGGGACACCTTTGGGCAGCTTAAATTTTACCATAACCTTAGGCAGGTTGAGTAGTCTGTGGAGAAACATGGTGTGTGGCAAATGTTTTGTGGATGCAACAGAAACACAGAGGATGCCACTCAGTGCAAACTGGGATATTCCAGGAAGGGCTCCCTGCAGGAAATAGAACTTGAATTGAGTGTCGAAATACTGAGGAATGTTTCTACCTGAATGAAGGAAGAGCACCTTTCAAGGCGTGTGCAGTATGTTCAGGGAGATACAATGTGTAATCAGGGAATAGTGATAAGTAATACTGAAAAGGCAGATTGGCCAGACCAAATGCTTTATGCTTTCAACATGTAGTTGTTGAGCTCCGACCATTTTCTAGGCACAGTTCTAGGACAGGGTATGTAGCAGCAAACAGACAAGGTTGTGGACATACATGCAATAAACAAATAAACTAATAGAGGAAATAAATACTATAGCATATAATATATCGAATGGTATTGCTGTGTTGAGAAAAATAGGGAAGAGTGTAAGGGATACAATTTTAAATTGAAGGTCTCACTAAGAGAGTTGCACCTGAAGGGGTGGAAAACAGAACCTATAAGGATATCTGGCTATTCCCTCTTAAAGGCTGGGGAATACTAGGAAGCATGCCTGGAACAGCAGAGACCCAGGTCACTAGATGCCTTAGAGGGGGTGATCCCAGGGCAGGTGGTTGGTCAAGATGTAAAGGCATTGTAAGGGCTTTGGCTTGTACTTAGTGATTTGGGAAGCCATTGGAGGGTTTGAAGAGAGGAATAATGTAATCTGGTTTATGTTCTAGAATAAGTACTCTGGCTGCTATGCTGAGAATAGACCATGGTAGGTTGGCCTGGGTACAGATAAAGTAGAGGGACTAATCAGGAGGCTATTGCCATGATGTAGGCAGGTGATGTTTGGCCCAGGGGTACTAAAATGACAGTGACAAGTAAGACGACTTTGGATAGAGTTGGACAGTAAAGCTTCGTATTTGCTGCCCTAGGTATGGATTGGGGAGCAGAGAGGCCCTGTGATGACTCCTGGTTCCACGAGAACAATGGGAATTATGCCGGTGCACCCACTGGGACTCAGTTCTGAGCATCAGCAAGTCCCAGCTGCCTTCAGACATCTAGAGGGAGGTGTCAGGTAGACAACCAGATGCAGAAGTTCAGGTCAGGGGGAGAGGTCCAAGCTAGAGGTATGCATTTGGGAGCTGCAAAGTGTGGGTGGTATTTGACACTTTGAAACTGTATGAAGTTACCAAGGAAGTGAGGTTAAGAGGTATAGGTGTGAGCACTGGGTTCTCTAATCTTCATCAGGCCCCAGAGATAAGGAGGAACCAGTAAAGAAGATGAAAAAGAGTTACCCTGAGAGGACAGAAGAAAACAAGAGAATGTAGTACAAAGTTCAGGAGGCCCAGGGTGGGAAGTTCTCAGGACAGAGTGATTAGCTGTGTTAAGTGCTAACTGTAAGTGAATGATTGGGTTTAGCAAGGCAGATGTCACTGGAGATGTGTGGGGGTCGGGGGAACTGATTGGAACGAATTCAAGGGCAAACGCAAAGAGAAGACCTGTGGATAGCAAGTGTGACTGCATGAGTGGCGTTAGAAAGGAGCTGCCTAGAAGGGCACCAGAGTGGTGAGTGGTAGATAGGTCCCTCCTCAGCCTGACATACCACCCCATAGATACACAGTACAAAGATGACAGCCAGAATAGTGTCTGTGTGCTGAGAAAAGTGAAGCAATGCTTCGTAAATTAAGCTGGGGTGTTTAAAATCTCATCCTGAACATTTTTGAGAGGCACTAAAATGTTAAGCATAATAACTTGCTTGACTTCATGAATTTGTAATTTGGGAAGATTATTCTGAAATCATTTAGCTCAGATGGATTAGAAGAGAGGTCCAGTTAGGAGGCTATTCCATTAATTCAGATTGAAGAGATTAAACCAAGGAGGGCTCCATGTTTCCTGGTTTGCAAAATGAAGGCTGCGGGGGGTAAAAAAAGAGTCTCCCCCACCATTGAACAAAGTCCTCACCATCCCTGTGATCAGGCAGGTAAGGCAGGTATGAGCCAGTCACTGTGTCCGGCTTAGCAGAAAGGGGGTGCACCCCAAACTCTGTAGTAGATAACTGCCTGGCTCACCTCCAGCCAGCTGTGCACAGGGCTCCTTCAGGTGACAGATCCAGGACTTGGCTTCTCTCATACATTCTTTCCTTTGGCAGACACACACACCTGTAGAATTGTTTTCCTTGTGTTTCTCTGTGCTTCCTGCACAGGTTTTTGTGTTGTTACTAGTGAGTAGTTTTATCAAAATGCAGAATGTCTGGTCCTTTGGCAAGGACTGTTGACTAATCATAAGAAACTCTTCATCTGTCAGTCTCCTGCAAAGTCTTTTACCGACTTAGCATCTTAGTTGTTTACTATAATTAGGCAGTTCCTTTTAAACAGTTGTATCTAATAGTTCATGTTTGTTATAAATGTTGAAAATAAAACCATGAGAACCTAAGATAGACCAGTGTCGCAACTTTGTTTAAAGGGTCATTGCTGGAATACCAGTAAAGGCCTCATCCTTCCTCTCTTGATTTACTCCATCTTTTCAAAAGGAGTAAAAAGAACCTTATACATCTCTTTCCTTTTTCCCCACAGAAGGTGAACGGGCTTTGCCGTCAATACCAAAGTAAGTACTACTTTGTATGCAGTGTTATTTTGTTTTGTTGGAAACTTTATGGAAATTGCTATGCTTTATTATTCATTCTTTTAAAAAATTAAATTTCTATGTACATAATCAGGGAACTAGGAAACAATTCTAGAAATAAATCAACTCAGTTGTAAATTTTATTAAGTACTCGGGTTTAATCAAAAATGTAATTTTTTCTTTAAGTTCTATGGGTGAGCTAAAGAATAATCATAATGTCGAGAGCCTATGGTTAAACCTTTGCTTCATATGTTCTTGCTAATCTTTATAAGAACCTGAAAATATGTGACAAGCTGGCTATTTTACAAGTATGAAAATTAAAGAGAAATAATTTATGTTAATTTTCTTGTTTATGCCCTGAATTTCATAATAGGTGTTGTTGATCTATAAAAGTAAAAGAATGAAATATTAATACCAAAAGAACTTATGTAACTTTATATTCTCAGCCAATTTGCTAGGAACTGGGAACTAAGATATGATGTTAAAATTTAGACAGTCGAATACACAGGTAAACACACACACTTACAGCTGCGTGGTAAGTGCTTGCAGAGATACTTGCACTTTCCAAGACACTTGAAGAGGAACAGTGAGCCTAAGAGGACACTGGAATAGAGAGGGAAAGGCCTGGGCTTTGTTCTGTTCCTCTCTCTTTTCTCCATAGCCAGTTAACTACCATTTCCTCCAGTTCCATGTTCTAAACAGATCCGTCTGCTTCACCATCTTCCCACTGTCCCTCCCTCGTGTTTAGCTATCTGGGATACCTAAGTACACTCCTGTGTTGGGAGTCCCCCAGATCCATGACCCACAGGACTCAGCTATGATGTATTACAGCAAAAGGATACAAAGCAGAATCAGCAAAGGCAAAGGCGCATGGGGTGAAGTCCAGAGAAAACCAGAGGCAAGCTTCCAAGGGTCCCTTCCCAATGGAGGCCACAAGACATTATGAATTCCCCAGCAATGAATTTTGACGGCCTGTGTGAAATGTTGCCTACTGAGAAAGCTCATTAGAGACTTGATGCCCAGGGTTTTTATTGAGGGTTCTTTATACATGCACTCTCTGCCTGGCATGCATCCAAATTCCAGACTCCCAGAAGGAAAGCAAGAGTTGAGCATAAACCACATTGTTTGTACAAACATTTTAGGCACAGTGTACCATACCCGTCAGGAGATGGTGGCTACTCAACAAAAATTCAAGCTCCCAGATGCCAGGCAAGGGACAATCATGTAACGTTAGTCACAGGCCTGCTGTATTAACTCTGTTCTGCATACTTCCTCCTAAATCAATCTCTGTCCAGTTTTGCTCATTAGCCTATTTGTGCTGTATACAGCTTGAGGAAGCTTTCCTAATTAAATCTCTTATATGACCTACTGTTGCTCTTAGCATACTTTCCAGTATTCTTAACCTAGCTTGCAGGAGCCCATGTGTTTGTTCCCTGCTCACTCCTCTAGCCTTGGTTTTTGTCACTCCTCATACTGTTCTTAGCTACATTCAACTTTTTTTCTATTCCAGGAGCAAACATTCTTTCTTTTTCCTAAAGGCCTTTGCCAGTCTTTGCATGATTCACTCTTCTTCCAACCCCCTTTTCCTTGCTAAGCCCTACTCATCTTCTGGTCTCATTCTATGTCACTTCCTGTGAAAACCTCATTGACCCACCTTGCCCCACCCCCAAGCCAGGAGAGCATCCCCATCATGTTTTCCTATAATAGCTTCTAGTAGTAATTACCACAGTTCTAAACTTGTCTGCCTTCCCTGGGCAGTAAGCTCATAGTCAGCCAGGGTCATATGCAGTACTGTGGGCCTCATACAGGTAGGGTCTGCACATGGCTAGTGCATGTGACTGTGGATGGAGGATGGTGGCAAGAGACCTCTAGCTTTGGACAGTGCACTCTACAGCATCAGCAGTGTCTGACAGGGGTTCATTTGGGGTCATATCAGTGCAGGAACTAATGTTTATTTAGAGTACCTTTAGTTTTGGGAAATTAAGGGATAATTTGGAGTTTAAAACATAAATGAATCAAAGCTGGGCAATGTGGCGTGTTTCTGTGGTTCTGAGACTGAGGCAGGAGGATCACTGAAGCCTGGGAGTTTCAGACTGTGATGCAGTGTGATCATGCCTGTGAATAGCAACCACACGCTAGTCTGGGTGACCTAGTGAGACTTCACCCCATCTCTTAAACACATACACACACTAGCCCCCCAGGAATCATAAAAAGAGATATGAAAGTGAGTGAGGAAAGTAGTACATTAGAAATGTTGACAGATAAAGGAAACACTAAATGAATGAAGCAAACTTTAAAAGAGAGGAACTTCCACCCAAATCTTAGCAGCAGCAGGACACCATTATTGTAGTGATCAAGCTATCTTGAGAAAGTTGCTTAGCAACAGCATACATAAATTGTGTTGCAGACAAGGGAAAACTACAGTGTTTCCGGAACAGAACAAGGAAGGAAATGATGTAATCTATTTATTTAAAATATGTGCCTTCTGACTGCCCAGTAAATACAGTTCAAAGATAAGTTTTGATAAATCATGTAGCTGCAATGGAAGAGAAAGTAAAGAGTTGTTAGAAAACAACTTCTGTTAAATTTTTATACTGTAGATAGAAAATTTCAAGTATTTGGAGAATTCTGTAAAAGGAACATAAGTCTATGGCTGTGTGCTGTGACTATGGAGATTATACAGTTTCACATTAAATAGTTATAATGCTTCAAAACAATGTACAAGTTGAGCATTCCTAATCTGGAACTTCAAAGTTCAAAATTCTCCAAAATGTGAAACTTTTTGAGAACCAACATGTGCAGCAAGTGGAAACTTTCACACCTGACCTCGTGTGTAACAGGTTGCAGTCACATATTTGTTTTGTGCACAGTTATTTAAAATATTGTATAAAATTACCTTCAGGTTATATGTGTAAGTTGTATATGAAACATAAACAAATTTCACATTTAGACTTGCTCCTGTCCCCTAGGTTCCTCACTGGGTATGTGTAGACATTCCAAAATTCAAAAAAATCTGAAATTTGAAACACTCTAGTTCCAAGCATTGCATATAAGAGATATTTAACCTATACTGTTTTAAGTGTCAGTATTTCCTAGTATAAATTCTATGTACTAGAAAAAAATCTATTCAGCACTTTCTTAATACATCCTTGTGTATCTGGAAAAGACTTTCTTTTATAAAAAGACCAAGGTAACTTAATATCTAAAGACTGTGTGGTTCCTTTTTTCCCCCTGTATTTTGTGCTTTCAAAGATTTTTTACTAACTGTACTTGCATTTTTTAAATGGCACCCAGACTCTTGGCCAAAATTTTATTTTATGGGGGTAAATATGTAAAACTAGCGTTAAGCCATTTTATAAAGTAAGTAGCAAGATAAATTGAGATTACTTTAAATCTGTAAGTAATAGTACATATTAATATATTTCTTGATTTTTTTACATACCATAAATTTATGAAGGACTAGTCATACTATAGTATTTCATATTATGTTTTAAAGAGCAAAATCTACTTCCAGGTATATGGTTTTTCTCTCATAACTTTGGGGCAATCCTTTACTGTCTAGCATTTAAGTTTACTTTTTTATTTAACCCACGCATACCACATTAAATTGTATTGCATTGTTTTAAATTATTGTCAAGAGTATCTTTCTCAGAACAGTTTAGCATTTCCTCAGTTGTGTATCTTAATTTCTGATTTTTAAAGCATTACAGCAGCCTGAGTATTTTAATAGTAGAATCCAATTTTTAAAGAAATCACCTTTCTAAAATGTTGTCTTCCTGGGGAATCGTCTTCCTCATCCAAGGTACCTCCCTACTTGATGAGTCTGAGTGGCAGGGTCCTGGGGAAATTGCAGGGCTTACAGCTTTGCTCTTGTCTGTCGCAGGCTGGCCAACAGTGAAAAGCAAGGCATGCGGACACACCCCGTCTCTGTGTCAGGTAAGGGGCTCTAGGTAGCAGACTTACAAAGCACATTCACAGGGTAAGATGATCATGGATGTCTATTTTTAGTATAATGGCTTCATTCTTAGAATAGCTTATGAAAATAAGCATTCTGGTTATCCAAATTTGCATAATTTTTCATCATTAAGTAGTTTCAAGTATGGTTCATAGATTTTATTTTTTTAGATGGGGCATACATAAAATACCAGATCACTCAGCACATTATATAGCATTCCACATTATTTTTTTGTTTTAATATCATGTTAATCATATCCAGAATGAAATTTTTACTTCTGAAGTTGCTGTTATAATTTATCTTTGGAATTCAGTAGAATAAACTTTGCATGTGTATTTTTTGAAGTTCAGGAAATGTGAGACATTTTTAAACCGGTTTTTGTCTTTCACAGTTAATATGGTGTTTGAATATTGCTTTTTTAATAATATAGTTAAGATAATGGCATAAGCATTATCTTAACTATTTGCTGGTGTGATTAAGTGTGTTGTACTTTCCTTGGTATGTTTCAAAATAGTATACCTTTTTCCCCATTTAAAAATGTGGGAAGTAGAGGAAAGGGGAAGGACGAGAAAGCATCTTCCATGGGTCCATTTGATATCTTAACATACATATAATATCTATATATGCACATATATACATACATAACCATATACACATATATATCATTTGTTCTTATATGTGTGCTTACATGTTACATTTCTAAAATCGTAGTTTTCTTTTAACTTTAGTATCTTGCTTAGAAAAGGCCCAATTCCTGTTTCTTTTGAATCAGTTGGTTTTTTTTTTTTTTTTTGAGACAGAGTCTCGCTCTGTCACCCAAACTGGAATGCAGTGGTTTGATATCAGCTCACTGCAACCTCTGATTCCCCAGTTCAAGCAATTCCCCTGCCCCAGCCTTCCATGTAGCTGGGATTACTGGCACCTGTCACCAAGTGCTGCTAACTTTTGTATATTTAGTAGAGACAGGGTTTTGCCATATTTGCCAGGCTTGTCTCGAACTCCTGACCTCAGATGATCCACCTGCCTCGGCCTCCCAAAGTGCCAGGATTATAGGCGTGAGCCACTGCACCCGGCCTGCCTATTTTTTTTTTTTTCAGTTGTGCACAAATGTCCCACAAGCCTTTCCTCAAGAAATATTTTTGCTTGTATTTGTACACTTGTCAAAGATACACAGTAAAGATGAATGATGTGTGATACTGTCAAAGTATTGCTGTTTGAGAAATCATTGCTCACTTACTAATTAAGTAGAGAGAAGGTGGGTGTGCCAGAGCTGGTCTTACGGACAGCTTCAGGGTTGCCCGCATGTTTTCAGGTAAACAGTTAATCCTTATAAGCCTGATCCATGACTTTATGGAGTAGCCCTAGTCTGTGGTGGGTACAGAGAGTTGGCAAACTTGCCAGGCCCTCATGGAGTTTGTAATCTAGTTGGATAAAGACCACCACCACATGCCACAGTCATAAGAGTCTGGAGGAGGGAGCAACTGCTGGGCACCAGGATGTTCTGTAGAGTAGGTGAGATTTGAGCAGGGCTTTGAATAACTCCCAGGCTCTCTGGTCCATTTTCTTTCCAAACTGTAAAGCAGCTTTTGGGATGAGCCCTGGAACAAGTCACTTTCATTTTGGTGCTTGCCACACACAGTCTCCACAGTCACCCCAGGCTTGAGTGAGAAGGGAAATGCCCCATTGTGTTAATATTCTAGCATCTGTCTTTGGGTAACAAAGTAATGAAATGTAATAAGATAGGCCTCATCAGTCCCTTCAAAACTTGTTCCTCCTATTTTACTGTCTCTTTTAATCAGTATTCTCCATTCAAGGTTTAAACCTCATATGTGTCTCTTAGCAGCTGATTATCACGAAACCTCTGGATTTTCCTTCTTCCAGACAACCCCCACTTTATGATCTCAGTGTTTTCATCCTATTTCAGAAGCCCATTAAGAATAAAGTTAGCTGGCATTTTATGAGTACTTTTGTAGATACTGTGTTCCAGGCTCAGGTTTATGTTCTGTGTTCTTGTACATGTATCATCTCATTTAGTCACACAACAAACTATAAGATAGGTTTTCTTATTGTTCAGCTGAGGAGACTAAGGCATAGAGAGGTTAAATAATTTGCCCAAGCTTACACAGCTGGTAAAGTCTGCAGTCATTGTTCAAACTCTGTCTGGCTTTAACACCACCTAGTTACTTGTGATCCTGCTTTCATCATTTCTTCCTAGATATTTCTTAACTAGGAGTTCATACTTCAGTCCCTTCTCCGTGGTCTTTGATTGCTACCATGTTGATTTAAATAGGCAATTCTCTGGTCAGAAACTTTTAGTAATAATTTAGTATCCATCAGATGAAGTTTGGGCTCCTCAGCTTAGCCTGGAAGACCTTTCATTGTCTGCCAGCAGCCCACCTTTGCAGTCCTCCCTTAGCACCTCATTTACATTGTTTTTTTTAGCCAAAAACAGTTTGTGACTTTGCCTCTCCCAACCTTATCTCTGTTGTTCTGCTTGAGCTGTTCCATTTAGACTTGTTCATTTCATCATTACATATCAAAATATTTTCACTTTTCAGAGTTAATAATACTTTGATATATGACTATCACTTAGGTAATTTACAGATCCAAGCAAAGAATAATCAGTGGATATTTAGTGATGTGGCATTAAATGTTTATAGTCTTGTTTGCCCTTAGTCATTCCACCTACTACTTGTTTACTTAGGTGGAATCAGACTAACAAGTGTGGGATATTTCTGTTCTTTTCTTGTCTGCCAGCCCTCCCTCCCTCCCTCCCTTCCTCCCTTCCTTTTTTCCTTCCATCATCCTGGCATTCAATGGTATGGTATGTTTCTATCTTCCACAAAGACTATAAAACCTAAAAACTGAGCAGCCTAGTCAACCAGGAGCCAGTGTATTGCACTTAGCCCCAGAGCTGATATTTGACATTTCTAGGGACATCTTTGTTATGCCTCTACCTAGAAAAAGTAATGTTACTAAATCCCAAGGTTATTTCTCACCTGCCAGCCTGGAAACACTGTACCATGTGGGATATAGTGCTGACATACCAAAGTATGGGATACACGTTTTATAATTGTTTTTAAATAATGAATTCCTGAGTAAAGTATGGAGGTGTGCTGGGACTTAGAGGAATGCATTCTGGGTAGCAGAAACAGACAGCAGAAAGACAGGAATAGTTGGAGCAATCAGTGTCACTGGGAGTCTCAAGGGATTACCTGTAAACTCATTACTCTAAATGATTCTAGAGTCTTTCCTAGGAATCACTGTAAATGATTCTAGATTCTTTCCTAGGAATCACTCTAATTGGTTTTAGATTTTTTCCTAGGAATCACTATAAATGATTCTACATTCTTTCCTAGGAGATGCTGGGCAAGGGAAGAGAGGCTAATCAACAGGAAAAGCGAGGGTCTAGATAACTTTAGGACAGTTTTGCAGCTCCTCATGGATCTCTCTTGTTGGCAAGTAAAGCAATATCCTTACATTCCAGAGAGAAGATACCAGGTGCTTTTTCATATTTCGTTGCAAAATAAAGATAGTTATTGGATCACCTTCAGTAAAATTGCAATGACACTTGATATTGAATACATGACCAGTTTATCTTCGAAATTTATACAGTATTTCTCTATAAGTGTAAGATTAACAGAGATTTACAAAAATATCTAACAGAACAACATGTTTCCCTCTTGTGTTGTTCTGAGAACCTAAAGAAGTTTTTTTAAGCCTAATTATTAAGTTATAAGGAAACTTGTCCTTATTGTGGAGCTCAGGTACAACTTGGAACATATCTGAAAGTCAAGTGCTACAGTCCATCATAAGGGACCTGTAAGTGTGCTGGAAGAGGAGGCGTGGTCTGTGTGGGGGGGTGCTTGAACCAAGTGCTGCAGTCCACCATAAGGGACCTGTAAGTGTGCTGAAAGAGGAGGCGTGGTCTGTGGGGGGCAGTGCTTGAACCATGGTTCAATCACACATTTCCAAATCAGTGAGTAAAGCTCTATTTTAAATGTTTTTGAAACCATAATCTTGGGGTTTTTCTTTAGTTGATTGCATTTGGGTTTTGTTTGGGTTTTTTTTTTTTTTTTTTTGTTTTTGTTTTTCTTTTCTAGAATAACCAAGCTTTTGATCAAGCAGTAAAACCTTAATTATGATGACCAGAAATACAAGATAACACATGATAGCAGTACCACTGCATTATGCACATGGCTTTTGTTACATGTGTGGATTACACATTTGGGACTGGTCTGGAGTTTGAGACCAGCCTGACCAACATGGAGACACCCCGTCTTTACTAAAAATACAGAAAAAAATTAGCAGTCTCTCCTAAAAATACAAAAAAAAAAATTAGCCGGGTGTAGTGACACATGCCTGTAATCCCAGCTCCTCGGAAGGCTGAGTCAGAAGAATCACTTGAACCTGGGAGACGAAGGTTGCAGTGAGTTGAGATCGTGCCATTGCACTCCAGCCTGGGCAACAAGAGTGAAACTCTGTTTAAAAAAAAAAAAAAAAAAAAATTATTTTTCTAACAGATAATTGTGGTTAAAATGTGTATCATGCAGCATAATTTTCTTTATTTAAGATTACTTTTAGGTTTTTGAGGTTAGTGACTGAAAATTATTCTGAACTATTAAGAAAACATTTAATAAAATAAATGTTACTTGTATTTTGTATTAAGCTGCTTCATTACAAATTCTAAAACAGCTTGTTTGTATATGCAAAGATAGCTTATAACTTTATAAACTGTAAAGTTACATAAAATATAAGGTGGCATAGTATATAATATTACTGTATTCTCTCTCTTTCTGTGTGGTCTCTGATATACTAAGTTTGTTAACTATTCATGACTGTGCCGCTTATATAATACAAGCAGTTATTTACATGTGAATGAGGCTCAGAGATCATGCCTGGTCCATCCACAGGGGTCATTTTGTTTAAACCTCGTGACAGTCTTCATAATATTTTCACCTTACACATGAGCTGAAGTGGT